ATTCTGTCGGTTGGGTTCAGGGCGGCGCGGTTGGGAATGGCAGCCATGAAAGCCGTCCGAGCTGGTGAGGGGCTGGGGGGCGGTTTGCAAAGAAATTGAGGTCGCGTTGCGACGCTGAAGGAGTCGCGTTGGGTTTATCGGGGGGAGAGAAGCGAGTGGAAGTCGGATCGAGTTTCTCGAGGCGACCGTGGCAGAAAAGAGGGCGGGCGGGTTCAGAAAAAGGGGGTCGAGCCAAGGGGTTAGACAGGATCGAGTCGGATCTCGTGCTACTTGCGGTGTGGAGGATGTGGGTGCGGCTGTGGTTTGAGGGAGGATGAGCGTACAGCCAGGCGGCAGAGTATACCAGAGAGCAACGAGGTTAGGTCAATTGCACCGTCCAAGGGAGGAGATCGATGAGGCAGGTCAAGCAGAGAAAGAGGGGCGGCAAGTTCTTTCATACAAGAACGAAAACCGTCCATCAGCAGCGATCGGGGGCCGCCAGAATTTTCGTGTCAGGGACACTTGATATACTGGCTGTTGTTCGGGTGTAAATGTCTTGGCGCCCAGAATGAACAGGTCCGCAGCTTGACGGCGGAGCAGAGACTTGGTTGCGGCAGGACGTACCTGCCGCCCTTCATCTTCCTGCCCAGTTTGCCATGCCTGTCAGCCATGCCTGTCAGCCATGCCTGCCCGCTTGCGGTGGGTTTCGGCCTGTGGCGGCTTCACTGGCAGGAAGGAATTAGGGGGGGTCGCACGTGGAGATGCGTTACAAATGGAACAAAACCACCCAATCTCCATGTCCAGAATGTTGGCCGTTCCTGCCAATCAATAAGACGGGGAGATGGGATTGCCCGCCTGGGAAACTAGTGTACCGCAGCGGCCTCTCTAGTGCAGTGACGATGGCCCCCAAATTCCCTCCCCCAATGTCCCCTAAGCCCCCCCTGGCGTGGTGGCATGGTGGGCCAGCTATCCCAGTCCTGGGGTCCACGCGTAATTCTGAAAATGAGGTGATTGAAGATTGAGTCTGAAGGCGAGGTACTACCTTACCAGGTACCTTGCTGCAGGATCTCTGTTGGAAAGTCTTTCATGAAGGGTGAAGCAACTACATGGCGTTTGTGCTCGCATCCCGAACCATCAGACTAAAATTTCGCCTTGTTTTCTCTTCGAGCAATAGAGCGTCTGCCAGGTACGGACAATGCCCTCGAACCCCCTCCCTGTCAACGCGTTCCACCCTGCCCCGGCCTTTCCAGGGATAAGCGGTATGAACAAGTACATCCCCCTGGCCCCCCTCCTCATTCAGGCTGCTGGCCGGCAACCACAGGGTCACCTTATCGCTAATAACATTCCACTGCAACCCCCTAATTTTTATGGCGCCACGGGGCCCATCAGCGCCGAATTCGCCAGCGGATTGGCTGCGCATGACAGAGGGACCCTCTCCGTCCTGTTTCCCCCGGCGCCCAGGACGCGCCACTTTCGGCCGATCACATTTTGGTTCGTTCTAGATCAGAATAGTCAGCAGCGACAGGAGACGGGTTTGGAGTGGTGATTGCTTGAGTGCTTGACCAGCTCGTCTACCTTACCTCGAGCAACGATTCCATGCTGTGATCGACCGCCCCTGGGACTCCGTGGACGGTCGTGTTCTACCTGGGCAGTGTGCGGATGGCTTCAGCGGCAGGCTGATGCCGCGTCGCTAAGCCTGTTCAATAATCCGCATGTTGGTGTCGACTGACTCTAGAATACGACCCCGTATCAGTCGCTGGATGCTGTCAGCATGGCAAACTAGGATGCAAGCGTGGTGGGCACAGCGGTGACATCACCCATCACTGGTGAGCCCGGCATAAGGATGTAAGACATTTCATATCGTGAGACCAGGGAACGGAAGCCGCTGAAGCTTTACCTAGACCCTGGCCTCGACTTCATGCGGTAGGTGGGAAGCTCGTTCTCAGTACAGCCCCATTCTTCGTCGGCCCTACAGACATTTCTTATTCAGAACACGTCTTGGTCGTCTTGGTCGTCCAGTGTCTGTTACGAAGCACGTCCCTATCTCCAGGCATGTACATGGTACTGCTATATTCATCTCGCATCCACTTGTACCATTTGCTGTGACAGTGTTCCAGGGTAAACTCCACACCACTCACGTTACTGTGGTGCATCCATAGTTTTGGCTAACCAGCATCGCAAGTGCCATAATAATAGTCGAAGACGGGAAGATCAGGGCAGCCGCATTGAATACAGTCAATGTCAGGCAATGTTGACTTTCTCGAATGTCTTTGCCACTGCCATTTTACGTTTTCTTACGAGAAAAGGTTGCAGCCGCCGGCCCGGTAGACGCCAACCAGTGATCGACTGAGAGTGTCCGATTCCGCGCTGAAGGGGGGGCTCGCAGGGCATGAGGTGCACGCGAGTTGGCAAGCTGGCAAGCCGATAGGCATCGAAAAGGGGCGCGAGTGACATTGGCATTGCCCCTCCCGATCCAGTGGATAGCAAAGGGTCATCTCCCTAAAATACGCCCAAGACTTTTTGTCGGCCGTTGTCGATCGCATTCGGCCATGCGATCGGCAGGGACACACACACACATACACACGCACCACACCGCATTTGTGAAGGGATGCAGGTACTGGTGTTACAGCGCAAGCAAGAGTACCGAAACCCCGTTAACATGATGGGGGTCCAGGAGACGGGTCTTTTGAACTGACCGCCAAGACTTTGGACTCCATCTGGGTGTTCGAGATACATCTCGGGGGCGGAGTGCTGACGACGACGCCAATTTGTGGATCGTTCTCTTGTCGCTTTTGCGAAAACGGCGGACAAACCACAGTGAGCCGTTGCAATGCTGGCAGAGAGAGACGGTCAGAAGTGTTCGAGAAATAAGCCAATTCACAATGAGTCCTTCATGCCAATTCGACCCTGCCGGCCATGGTGGAAATAAAAGCCGAATGATCTTGATCATGACGACGGATATGTAGCCAGTGCAATTATAACCACCATGATGATGACTGTCGTGCCAAAACAGGGAGTTGCGTTCTCGGTATCAACTCTGGGTTGTGACTGGAGAGCGACTCTTCACAGGGACTGTCATTTGGAGTGGCCATGTCCTCAGTCATGTAGCAATCAGGTTGTCAAGAAGTGACTGGATATTCTGGAGGGCCTAGAGTCATCCTGAGTCGAGTTTGTTATTGCGAAACCTTTTTCGCGATCGTGCTATTCATTGAGGTGGTTTGGTTTAGAAGCCATTCGGAGTGCTGGACAGGTGCGGTGTAGGAAGCACATCTGGTTTTCTCAATCGCGGAAAGGCCTCGGGGTCCATCATGCTAATCCCGTAGCTGGACAGGCTTAACAGGGCACTTCGTGCAGTTTCGTTCCCGTCCATGGACTGGCTGGTGAGTCTTGCATCCCACTGCCCGCCTCTTGGTACCTGGAACCAGCTAACCTATCGTACAAGGTACGGTAGGTGCACCTCAACCGCCGACCGTCGCCTGCCAGCGCACCCTGCCCCCCATGGCAGGGGCCCAGCGTGTATCGACCTAGCTGTAGGCCTGTTCCAGGCGTCCTTGCCCGCCGGGTCAGCTCTTCTCCGCCACAGCCATGCAGGCCTTGGCAGCTGGGTCTACACTACACTGGGACGCACCTGGCCTGCATCTATTTCCTTTCCTCGTTTCCACCACCCAATCCGTTCACTGCCTGAGTGGACAAAAGCAGTCACTTCCCCGTTCCACCACTTCTCCGCGCCTGTCCGATCTCTCTGCTTCCTTTCGCCTTTGTCTGCACTTCGACGTACTCTCGTTTAAACGCCGACGTTCTTCTGGACGGTTCCTAAAGGATCTCGCCTGCGTTACAAGTCGCTGAATCGCAAGCCCACGACCACCGCAGGCCGTGGCTGGACAGCTTCCCGTCAGCAAAATGATCAACACACTCCTTTTAAGCGGCAGTCTTGCTGCGCTTCTGGGCGTCGCGTCTTCTCAGACCTACGATGCGACAGTCTGTGGAAAGGAAAGGGTTGGCGAGTTCAATGATACTATCATGTGTGAGTGCGACTCGAACATCGTCGCAGCGGAACGAAGACTGATCTTTCCATGCTAGACTACCCCAATGCCTGGAATCCCAAGAGTCCCGAGAACGGTCATGTCTGCATGTCCGTTGACGAGAGCGGACCTTCTTTTGACGTTGTCTGGAACTGGCCTGAGAACATTGAGGATGTGCACTCGTACCCCTACGTTCGTCTCAACCACGAGAATCTGCCCACAAAGCTGAGCACCATTCGCGAGATGAAGCTCAAGACCGACTGGACCATGACTCTCGGTAACCCCAGCAGCCCACCCCGTGACTTTAGCACAAGCACCTGGGACGACAACAAGGAGGAGCTTCTCGAGGCTGGCGTCATCTGCAATGCTGCTTGGGACTTCTTCTTCGATGGGGATCGCATGAACACGTACAACCCAGTCAACTCGTCATACGAGGTCATGATCTGGCTCGGTAAAATTGGCTCCGGTGCGCAGCCGCTCGAGGGTGACAGCATTTTGACGAACATGACTGTTGGTGACCACGAATTGTATGTTGGGCTGTCACGATCCCCATCCGTTCGGATATGTACTGACCGAATAGCTCTCTCTGGTACAACACCAACTCTGGCGGCCGCCATGTCTTCACTTGGGTCACTCGCGATGGCAAAGACGTGAACGAGTTTGACGGTGATGTCGCCCCTCTTCTCGAATACATCTTGTCAAACCCTTCCGATATCGAAGACTTCCCCTCCGACCCCTGGTTGGGCCTTGTTGAATTCGGCTCGGAAACATGGTTTTCTAACGAGAATGTAACTTTCTCTGCTGCCAACTTTGGAATGGAGCTCGACGCCGATGGCTACGATGGTGCTCGCGATGACGACAACAGCGGCAGCAGCAACAACAACAACAATGGCGGCTCCAGCAACGACAATGACAGCGCCGGCGCGGCCATCAGCCTTTCAACTCTGACGCTCGTTATGCCCGCGGCTATGGCACTGGCGGTTGCGTTTGGTTTCTAAAGCAGGAGATCCGTGTACGAATATCCAGCGGTTTGCGCCATGTTGCGGGGTTCTTTGCACGGAGTTGGCGGGGTGATTTGAATCATGCTTTATGCTTTCTATTAGACCAAAGACCGCAATTTGTATAAGGTATGGTGCCTGCTCGTCGCATCCGTCTGTCATTGACGTAATATTTTGGCTGTGTGCAGTCCTCAGTCTGGTTTCAATAGCACAATGTCCAGTCGACGAGCAAAATCGAATAATAAAGAAAGAAACTCATGCCCGAGCTCGAGCCCACATGCAAATACAACATGTCACTTGTGGCCGAAAGTCGGAATTGATTCGTAGTGTTTGCCTTGCTGGACATCGTATTCCAGCGCCTGTTGGCGTGGGCCTCCCCGGATCTCGTTAGGTCCTGTCTGGTCGACTCGAATCGGGGGGCGCCGGTTCGTCGATCGCGCGTGATTTTAGGTACGGCTATAGTAGTAAGGTTCAGGCCCGCGGGCATCGACTTTATTTCGACCTCATCGCTCACACGTCGAGTCTTTGAGGGCACCATCGCGACGGTTGCGAGACGCGACATGCTGTCTCCCATGTGCCCGTAACACTGGAGGCAGCAGCAGACGGGAAATATGATGACGCTCTGATTGAGTCCTTTGGCTTTTTGCTCTCGGCACCCCCACCTTGGCGGTGTCGGCCAAGGTTTGCGTGTGCGCGCGCCTCCGTGTACGTTAAGTATTGCGCTCGCCAAGGGACGCGCGCGCCGGTCGGTGCTTTGTGCAAAATGAGTCCCCCCTGTCCCGCCCCCCTGTTCCGTTTCTGTCCCGCCCCCTTGCCAGGATAGCCTTAAGACGGAGAATATCTTGGCGGGGAAAACGGTGCGGCATTGTCGGCATGTGGGACTGACCGGGTGATGGAGGGCCCAGGGGCAGAGTGCAAGGTCTTACTGTACCAGTCCAGTGCAGTAGATGCGAAGGGTGGGGTCCTTATCAGCATGCGCTCAAGGGGCAGCGAACTGCCTGGGCTGGTGTGCTGCGCAGGAAGACGAGAGGTAGGAGCGCTGGTCTACACACGGAATGAACAGTAGCATTGGGAAACGACAGGGAAAGATCCAAATGGGTTGGGTTTTGCTGAATGATCGGCTGTGCGGCCGGATCGGATGGCACGCTGGACGATCATCACCAGCGAGGAAAGCGCTTCAAAGTCGAACTCGTTAGGCAGCTGTGTTACCGCGGCTGATACAAGGACGCGCAACTTGTTAGACTGTTTGGGGGCCCCTCTCCCCAACGGCTGGAGCTGTCTTGAGCTGATGTCGCTGGCGATCAAGGACGCAAACAACATCCCATGAGATGGGCTTGTCTGTCTGGGAAGATTGCAGGTGCAAAGCGGAGGACGATCCTGGACGAGCGGGAACGCAGAAGCTCGGACAATTGGCTGATTGTCTGCTTGGCTGCCCTGACTGGAAGCGACTTGGCTCGTCATTGCTATCCACCGACGAGCCGAGGGAGAGATTGCCACCGTGGATATCCATTGAGAATCGAGGCGATTTATCACGATTTGATCAGAATTGTTGCAAATTGGTGCTGCTTTGCGGCGAGCCTGCTTTGGTAGCACCGTTGATGGAGCGCGATGATTGTAGGGAGCTTGGCTGCTGGTGTGCGGCAATTTGGCAGTGAAGTAGCGGTTGCACGGTGACGTAAAATGATGGATACAGCCGTAAAGCTCCGGCAGCCGCTGTGCTAATGCGCTGCCACAGTCTTGTGCAGCAAGTGTAGGTAACTTAGGTGAATGCTATTGGGGCCAAGATCAAATTCTTCCACACTGTCTTGGGTCGTTGTCATATTCTCATGGCTCCTGTGGCAACAAGAGCATTGGAGCTGGCGCGTTCCATTCCCTCACGACCAATGGACGACAGGTTGATGGCTGACGAAGCAGCCTCCCTCCTTCCTGTCCCTGTGGTGCAGGCGAGACATCACCAGCGGCGGCCCAGGAACGGGGCCGAGCTAGGGTCCCCCAGAAACGGAACTAGGGACCGCCCCGTAGGGCCAAGGCTCGTGGAGATGAGAGGCATTACTTACCCGACTTGGCTTAGAGCCCGCTTGGTGCATATGTGTACGTCTTCTTGCACCGGGCGGCCGGCGGATATCCCCAGATGCCATGTCCGGATTCTTGCTGGGTTCTCACGAGTGGAAGAACGAGCGCCTTGAAGTGTGTCCGAGCTCAATTGTGGAGTTGAGTTTGGTTATTCAGCTGATTTTTTCTCTCTATTGACTGAGTTTTCATGATGACGCGAGTTGACGGACGGCAGATGCAGGAAGCGGGCGTAATTCCCTTTTGGCCGCCGTCCCGATGTGTCGACTGTCTCGTCTCCCGCGAACCCCTGTCCTCCCCCAATATCTTCGAGGTTTGAATCAAGCTTATCAACGGCGTTGATTCATGAGTCCCACACGCCCTGGCAGCATGGTGACTGAGCGTGCGCATTGATGCTGAGGACTTTCCCCATGAGGTCTGGTTGCCGCCCCCATCCTCGCGTCCCTTTGTTTGCTGCGGTGTGCCGCCAGCCGCCTTCGTATCGGATTGCCTGCTCAGCAAATGTCGCCGAAGGCTTAGGCGGCGTTCCGTCTGGCGTCTTGGGCTAGAGGGAACGCCGCCGCCTCTTTTTAGGCTTGTAATTCAAGCCCCTGGGCAAGCTGGCTGGTGCAATATGCGTACCATGTAATGCGTCGTCGCATAGTCATAGACTGGGATATCAGTGTGCCATGGCCGTATCCACTCGTTATTCGGGCCATCATGAACGGAATCTGTCCCAAGACTTCTTGGCCACGTATCCGGAGCATTTGGGCAACCGCTTCCATGTTTTGGGTCTTGGGTCTTGGGACGGTCGGCTCTTGGTCCCTTGGCAGCTTGACCCTTGGCGCTGTTGATGCAGATGCAAAGGCAGATGAGGCCCATGTTACTGCTATCTTCTGGCTTCTCGTGCCTGCTTGTCTAGCGGCCTGCCTTGGTTACGCTGCTTGGCGAATCCACCGTTTTCGCACCTTCCCGTCCCTGGTCAGTCACCTCTTTCCTTCCCATTCACTGTTTAGCTTGTTGTCGGGGGCCGCCTGCCGTTCTGCTTGCTTCCCCTTGTTCGACCCAGCTATCTGACCTGTCTTGCCTGCTTGTTGTGCCTCGTGTTTTCTGCTCCCACCCTGCCTGTTCCTTTCTTGACATGCCTGCGCCTGCCTTGCCTTGCTGCTTAGCATCTTGGCCAACCACGGGATCCCGATCGTATCACCATGCCGCTTCACCTCGATGACCTTGATCTTCACCTGGCCTGATCTGATGCTCGCTTCACTCTTCTTTTCCCTTCCTCCCCTTCCTTCCTTCTCCACCATCGAGCTCCAAGATACGCCGTTCCTGAGCCATTATCAAGTGGCTTAACGTCCCTTGGAGCCGCTTCCTGGACAAAACCTCTCCGACCAACACCAACACTCGCTTTCACCTCGACTCTCGTTTTCTCGCCTCAGGGACAAGGTCACCTTTCCCCAGTCCAAGTCGATCGCCGTCTTTCCCCCCCTGGTCCCGACTGCGTTTGTCTCCCCACCATCGACCACTACGACTGAGAGAGCAGCCCTCTTGGTCCCCGATGCATCATCAGTAAACAAGGTCCTCGCACCACCAGTCACTCGCTTTTTCTTGGACTTCGTTGTACCAAGTACAATCGCCGAACTCTAAGCGCTTTTACGCATTGTTCGAGATCTATCACCATTCCTGCACGTCAGAAGCTCGGGAGTCGCTCAGAACAGCCTCCAGACCGGCGCCTGGATACTAGAATCGGTCAACGATTTCACCGAAGCACGCCCTCGCCCGCTGAACTCGGCAATCAACTCGCACTCGTTTGCCCCGTGTCTCGTCGTCTCGAGACCGTTACACCGCATCGGATACGACCAGCTATCGCCACTGTCACCACTCACCGAAGCGTCCGCCATGTCAGCCCCTTGGACGCCTGGCCACACTCGGGGTAACACCCCCGATTCTGGGCCTGGTTCGAACCCGTTTGAGCGTAATCCATTCGACACTGACGACAGTGCTGCCGTTTCCCTGGCAAGCAACTCAACATTCACCGTGGTACGCTCGTGCTCCACGCCGCAGTGAATGCAGTGCGTGAGATGATTGGCTGACTCGACACAGAATGTCATTGATCATGATCGCAACAGTCATGAAGGTCTTGCTGGTCAGCAAGCCCCTCGTAGACCTGGAGCTGGCGCCGTTCCTTCGCATCACCGCTTGAGTCGACCAGAAATCGTAGGTGCCTTCAACACCAGGGCACGGACGTGATATTGACCTGCGCATAGGAACCCTCCCCGCTGGGCAGAGCACAGCTCGGCGTCAATGATGAGAGCGAGAAATACGAGAATCCATCAACCTCTACTCTCAGTGTCGGCCAAGGCCACCTCGCAGGTCGTGCGGATGGCGCCATCATACAGGTCGATCCTGAGAAGATCACTGAGAAGCATGTCACTGCTTTGCGGCCTGGGTCCGACCTTCCATTCCACAAGCGCATGTATCACAAGTTCAGGAGAACATACAACCCGATCGAGCCTCCACCCCTGGTCTTACCCGTCTGCCCGACTGATGAGGAGAAAATCATGTATACCAGCACCAACCGCATTTTACTCTACGTTTTCGGCGTCGTCTCATTCCTTGCTCTTGGCGCGGGCATGTGGCTCTTCACCCTGTCCTCGCCTGTCTTTTACTGGTATGGAGTCTTTGCTGGTTGCATGTGCCTGTACCTCCTCATCTCCTATGGTGTTGGTATCGTTGGCCGCGACTGGGACTACCAATCACATCTCGACCGCGTTGAACGATTCCCCATTGATGACCTCAATGCCGCGACGGTCGACATATACCTTCCCATTTGCAAGGAACCGATAGAGATTCTTGAGAACACCTGGAACCACATTGCTCGCATGGATTGGCCAGCCAACAAACTCAAGGTCTACGTCATGGACGATGGTGCTCAGGAAGAGGTTCGTCTGCTGGCTGAGCGGTTTGGATTCATCTACTCTGTCCGCGAGGATAGACCCCGTCTTCGCAAGGCAGGGAATCTGCGATGGACCTTCGCGCGGACCGACGGCGAATTCTTCTGCATTTTTGATGCCGACTTTTGTCCACGTCCCGACTTCGTCAAGGAACTTATGGTTGAGCACCTCGATGACGAGAAGACCGCAATCGTCCAGAGCCCTCAGTTCTTCCGTGTTCTGGATGAGCAGACTTGGGTCGAGCAGGGTGCTGGTGCTACGCAGGAGCTGTTCTACCGTGTTGTTCAAGTCAACCGCAATCGCTGGGGCGCTTCGATTTGCGTTGGCAGCAACGCCATGTACCGTCGTGCGGCTCTCGTTGACGTTGGAGGTACTGCCGAGATTGGTTTCTCCGAGGATGTTCATACGGGCTTTGGCGCGGTAGACCGTGGTTGGAAGGTCAAGTATATTCCTCTCTGTCTCGCCACCGGCGTCTGCCCAGATTCGCCTCGGGCCTTCTTCTCCCAGCAGATGCGATGGGCTCGTGGCAGCACGACGCTGTTGACGAATGGTCACTTCTGGGTTTCGAACCTCACGTTCATGCAGAAGGTTTGCTATCTGTCAGGTAAGTAGTCCATCATTCTTGAATCCGCAACCATGCTAACCTCAACAGGGTTTCTCTACTACTCTGCCGTCTCTGCCAACATCTTCCTGTCTCCCATCGCGGGCACCCTGCTGCTCGCCATCCGTCCCGAGTGGTTTAAGTTCTGGAACCTGGCATTCGCAATCCCCTCGATTCTTTATGGCGTTATCCTGATGCGCGTTTGGTCCAAAGCCACCTACGGCTTCAACGTCCAACACATCATGACTGTCCAGAGCTACGCCTATCTCACTGCGATCAAAGACCGCGTCTTCAACATTGAGCTTCTCTGGGCTGCCTCCGGCGATAGCAAAGCCCACAAGAGCAACAAGTACCGCAACATGCGCCTTCTCTGCATCATCTGGACCCTGATCGTCACTGGCTCCATGATTGGCGTGGTGACTTGGCGACTGGTCACCGGCTTCACTTGGTACCACACGATCCCGTTGATCCTCATCAACGTCTCCAACTTCTTCATTCACCACTACTTCATGTTCTGCAATTGTGGG